AGAGCCTTATTATGGTAAACTTGGCATGTAATGCTTTCATTGTACTTCATATAATATTAATGATTTTTGCTGGGATATCTTTTGTTTTAAGAATTCATATATAAAACCACGTCAAACATGTTTTCAAATTTGACGACAATAAGATAGATAGCCGCTTTCAGCTAAGATGTTGATATGACTGACTTGGTTAGAAAGTTAGTACATATTACTTTAATATTATTGTCAATATTAGTTGAGTTAAAATTTGCTTAACTATATTATTGATAATAACAATAAACTTCTTCAATTAGTACACGTCTTTTCTGTTTAAAACTTTTTAATATTCTTTCATTCTTTCCTTTCTGGCATACGAAAGCTTTATGTTAAAATCGTATAAATTCGCCTTCTATTCAGATAATGCCAAAATCTGAAGCATTATGTTAAAATCGTATAAACTCGCTTTGTATTTAGATAATACCAAAATCTGAAGCGTTATGTTAAAACCGTATAAATTCGCCTTGTATTCAGATAATGTCAAAATCTTTGTAACTAAACTGATCTTCAATACAAAAGTATTTGAAATTCATATTCGTCGAGAAGTAAATATTAAATAAAACATGCATAAAACATTGACATAAATCAATGTTTATTATTATTGATTTTACTATTTATTAAGTAATTCACTTAGCACTTCAGCGATTCAATTGCGAAGATCACGCAATCTCTTAGAGGCCAACGATTGCAGCATCTGATTTATTTATCTGCAAATATAAATAAATTTGTAAATTATTATTCTAAATCTCAAAACCAATAAATTATCAGTTATTAGCACATAAATAAATATTGCCATAAGGTATTTTGGTATTTTGGATTTCTTTTTACGACCAACTTTAGCTGCGTCCCCCAAAGGTGCTGTAAAAATTTTGCAACACCTTTTACTCGTAAAAATCGCAATTTTCAGTAATTTAATATTATTTCTCTATAATTTTTAGTTTTTAATGTGTTTTAGTAGAAAAAGTAGGCCATAATTATTTGAATTAGGGTTCTCTGCTTAGCATTTCAATTGAAGACATAAAACGAATTTTAAAACCAAAGTTTAAAGAAAAGAAAAGTTTGCCTTTAAGTTTATCTTTCACAGCATCTTTCAGTGTTTTTTGTGTAGATTTGGTATTTCGAAGATTTCACAAGAAATCAGTTTGAAGTATCTTTCTGTAGTTTCTGTCACGTTTTCCTAAGTAACCAAATTGTAATTGTAGCTGTTGATTTCTTTTGTAATTTATTTTATGGTTTGAGTTTTAGCCTCTAATGTAATTTTTCTCCCCATAAGCAATTTAATCGCTCTACCGAAACCACAAACAAACTGCTTCGGACAAGTAATATATAAAAACTGTGTCAATTTCAATTTCAAATTCAAACTCAGTTTCAGTTTCAGTACTTTTAAGCGGAAAACCAAAAAAATTAGAAATGCAATCTTTAATACAACATCTAATCTCGAACCCTAAATCATTTATTACAACGATTGAGAGATGAGCGCAATATCAACGATATTGCCTTGCAGTAGATAGTTTTCCATTGAAAAATTAATACTAATCAACTTGAATAAACTTAAATATAATGTTTAAGTACAAGTGGTTAAAATAAAAATTTTTTTTAAATATTTTTAAGTGTTCATATTGTATTTTAACACTCTTACACTTTCCAATTTAATAGGTCACAATTCTACTTAAAACTTTAAGATATTTTAAAAACTAAAAAATCATAGAAAATAAGTTTGAGATTTAAATCTTGAGTTAAAAAAAAGAACAAAGTGCTTTAAGACATCAATTGATAGATAACTGTGAATGATGGAACTGCATGGTATTGGAACAGCATTTCCGTCTAACTTTGCATTGAGAATTATTGCTTCAATAACCTGGTTCCATTACAAAATTCAAATGGTATATATTTGGCTCCTCTATATACCTATGCAGATCTACACAGCGGTTTAGGAGTCCACTTGGTATGAGAAAAAGTACTCTCTACATACAGGCATATGTAATAAATAGGTCAGGTTAGGTTAGGTTCGCACGTTGTGATACCAGGATGAGACATTGCACGTCCTCAATTTATACATATATGCATGTATAATAAATATATGTATATAGAACAGGCCCACGTTAGGTTAGGTCGAAAGTCGATAGTTTTGTGTATCAAAGCTCATTTGAGTATAGAGAATGACCCGCTGCTATAACTCAAATATAGAAGTCAGAAATACCATCCAGCACACCATCTATATACAGCTTTGTTAGTTTGTTTAGAATTAGCCGTTAGAACTACCGCAATATTTTTATTTATTACGAAAACTGGATCCAAGGGTTCTTCTGGGACATATTAAAGACATATTCGGTTGGTGATTTACTTTTAATGTAATATTTATTTTCGATTAGTAAATTTGTATAACACATGAGATTAATGTATAATATTCGAAACTAATTTAGAAAACTCTAGATATTTAGCCAGAGTAGCAAGATTACCCTGAAATTAACAGTTGTTTTATATAACGAGAAATTAATTGTGATTTGGTTGTATTTATAAAATATATAAATATCTACTAACACATGTACAAAAATTTTAGAATACTCTAAAAATGTTCGATTGGGCAACAAAATTTGACAGATATAGCCTAATCTAGACTGAATTCAGATTCACCAATCGAAAACGCCATAATATTGTGCTTATATATTTAAAGAAGATCTCTGCCACAGGGATTTGCTTGGGTCACCCTAACGGTTCCAAAGGCTATAACACATTATATAGTATTCTATAGATATAATAGCGTATGCGATTCCAATCTTACACAATTTTTAATGGTTTATAGCACTAGTAATTCTATATAAATCTAATTTCATTTACCTCAAAACCGTAAGTGCACTTTTAAATTATTCTTACCATGCCATAGTACGTGCTGTTGGCTTTAGGAAAATATTTATGTATTTACTTAAAACAATAAAGTTTCTACAAGTGCATGTAAATAATCTACTGACTGTATTTCTTACGATTTGATGTGCCCATTAACAATTTTACAATTTTACAAGTTTACAAGTTTACTGTTTGGTTTGCTCTATACATTGTGTGACCTCAATGCTTTATCTTGTTTTGAGGTTAAAATTAAAGATTGTTGTATCTCAAGTAATAAAAGATACCAAAACAAATATCACCCAAAGCAACAACAAAAACAACATCAAATGTTGTCAACAATTATAATAATAAAAAATAAAAATAAAAAATAAAAAAAATAAAATTACAATATTAAATAAAAAATACCCATCTTCCAATGAAACTTCGTATTCACTCTTCTCTTTACTCTGTCTCCTCAGTTGAAACTTTTGTGTTGGATGTTTTCTGTTTTTTATTTGTTTTCTGCTCTGGTCGATGATTTTACCAGCTTTTCACTATCGTTTCAGATACTTTTTCAAATCTTCATATGTAGGAATAAACATCAAATGTTAACGAGCTTGAAGATTGCCGAAAAAGATAATGTTTAAGCTATAAATTCGACAATGAAGGTGACAAGTGCGACGACACAACAATTACAATTTTCAATTGTTAGATAAAATATTTGAAAAAAAAATTTAATATATTTAATATGCATTTAAAGATACAGATACATAATAACTAGTTTTTGTACAAATTTATTAGATAATTCGTTGATAATTTTTGAGATGTTTTTGTTAGTAATTTAATTTAAATTTTCTTTTTTTTAAATTAATATTAATTGATTGTTAATTTTTTAATTTAATTACTAAAATTAATTATCATTTCCTATCATTTTCTATAATGATAAACTTGTAAAGTTCAAATTTATATAATACCAAACTGGTCATATGTGCATACATAATGCGACGATACATAACACAGCAGATACCACATAATATGCCATCTAACATTGCGACGGTCAGTTGTGTGCTAATTAAATGTAACAATTTTCTTCCGGTTGCAAATGAAAATGAATCTGAACGATAACGATAACGAAACGTATGAACTTGAACGCAATTTTCATATACACAAGGCGCAAGGTAGTTTTGAAGAATAAACGCAGTGGAGTAGTTGAGGGGAACTGTCCAAATAGTACTTCTCTAAAGATTCGGCCATACTCAAATTATTATAAACTAAACTTTAGTTTATGTTGTTTAAAATATTCAGAGATATTTACAGGCAGACAGAGAGAGAGAGAGAGAGAGAGAGAGAGAGGTAGAAATAGATAGATATAGCGAGAGAGATAGAAAGCGAGAAAAAGATAAAGAGAGAGATAGATAGAGATAGCAAAAGAGATAGAGAGCGAGAAAAAGAAAAGGAGAGACAGAAAGAAAGATAAGTTGCAGAATTAAAATATTGAGGGTCTAAAAGGATCAAAGGGAAGTTAAATAAAATCGCAGGAATACACTATCAACATTCTTATTTTCTTTATTACTGTCAAAGGGACTCTATAAAGATTTCTATCAAAGTGTAATGCAGAAGAAAGAGAGTATAGTATGCCTAAGCAGGGGACCTCTACAAAGTTAACAGTCATTATTGAGTAAAAATACTGCAGATACTAATCAGTGTTTTATCAAAGATCACAAAAGAAAGGAAAGAGAAACAGTGAGAGAGAAAGAGAGAAATAGAGAGGGAGATATAGAGAAAGAGAGAAAGGGAGAGAGAAAGATAGGCAGGAAAAAGCGAGTGAGAAAAGGCAATACAATGCATTTGCTATATGTATGTAATGCAAACAATGCATTATATATCATATTTAAGTTAATCCCCATTTCAAAAACTCTATGAAAGCCCATGTTTTTCCATATTAGCTTTACATAATGTCTATGAAGAATTTTCTTTTCAACAGCTTTATTATATGTGATTATTTATATCTTTTAATTATTTTCAGTAATATATTTTGTTTTGTTTATGCTCCATGAATCAAAATATAAAAAAATCTTGTTTATTTTACCGGTTTTTTACTATGTAGTAAACTAAAATACATTTTTTTTTCTTTCTCATTGCAGCGGCAAAAACCAAAGCCACAAATCCAAGAGGCCAAGAGGCTCTTCTCACTGGCAGAAAAAGAAAATTCAAACAAGTTGACCGACAATTTAATTCCGAGTTCGTCTCTGACTCTGATTCGACTTACTTTTATTTAATTTGGTTAAAAAAATTCTAAGTAGAATGCAGTGAGAACGCGGACTGAATCCGAAACGTCAGCCAGTTGTCACATTTCGGTAATAATTTCGGTAAAAACTGTTGAATGAATTCGTCAACATAAAAATTAAGTGAAAGCACCTCAAAAGTTGGTAGACACCACCGACGCAGTTAAAAGCCACACAATTAAAACCAAAAAAAAAAAATAAAAACTTAAAAAAAAAAATAAATAATAATAAATAAAAAATAAAAATTGTGCTGAGCTGAGCTGGTGCCGCTTAGCGGTTCAAGTAAAAAGGCGGCTCGGTTCGCGATGTGAAAGTGAGTGCGCGCATATTCACAGCTTGACAATCCAGCGACGCGTTCAGTTTGACGAATAACGGCGCTGCGAGTGGATTTGAGGTATCAAAACGCGCTTCTGGCGAGTGTTTGAATTTATTTTGAAAATTTAATTCGTGCATTAAGTGAAAAAAAGAAATAATAAAAATTAATATTAATAAAAATTTTGCAAAATAAATATAATGTTGAACCATAAAAATATTATTATTAGGCAAGTGAAATAAAAAAAAGTTTCCAAAAAATTATGAGCAACAAAAATGTTATAAAGATTTTAGTAATTCATTATCAATAAAATGATGAATATACATGAATAATAACTTGGTAACCTTTCTGTTGTAAGTGAAAGTGAAATATTTTTTTTTTCTACGAAATATAAACAAAAAAACAAAACAAAAACAAATATAACAAAATATCGATATCAATAAAAAAAAAATGCATACAATAAAATTTGCAAACAATTAAGTTTGTTCACAAAATAAAATGTCAATAAATTATGTCGGCGCATTTTTGATGCATCAAACTTCAGTAATAGCAGCAACAACAACAACAACAGTCATAAAAGCAATAGCATAAAAGCAATAACAATAACAAAACTTTAAGTTATGCGCCATATTACCAGCGCATCTAATCGCCAATAAAAGTGCCTTAACTGCTCATGCACTGTACGCTTCCGCTAGCAATGATTTTGCTTTGTCGTTTTTCCTTGTCGCATATTGCATAAATACACAAACACAAATACAAACCAAAACACAAATAAAAGAAAAAACAAAAGCAAAATAGTGAAAAATTTTGTTGAATTTTGAATGAAACAATAACAAACAAAAAATATGAAGCCAACAATGAAATTGATAACAGTTTTTGCAGTGCTGCTGGCAACACCTCTCCATTTGTTTATAACCGGTAAGCTTCAAGCAAATGTTAAGAGAAAGAAAGAGAGAAAGCATTGTTTATTGTGTGTGGCGAATGCTTTTAAAATTCGAAATTATGGTATAAGAGAGTAATTTCATTTAAAGAAGAAAAATTAATATTAATAATTAATATAATATTAATAATTATTAATAATAACTATTTAATAAATATGCTTAATATTTATGAAATAGTTTATTTAATTATTTTTTTAATTAATTATAATTGAAAACATTTTTTCTTCAGATAAATGTACTGTAAAAATGTATTGTATTAATGAATTGAAAACTATAATAATGACTTTGCAATTAAAAAATAATCTAGGAAAAAGATTTATTTAAAAACGTAATTGATTAATCGGAATTAATTATTAGAAATTAATTCCGGTTTGATTCAAAGCCTTTTAATTGTATTAAAGCAATGAAAAGCCAAACAGTTTAATAATGAATGTGACTCGAACATATAAAAACATTTTTGAGACGATCTAAATCGTATTAGACACACGAAATGATGTCTTGTTGACTCTGTCTATAAAGATATGAGAAGCCGCAAAGATGTGAAGAGAAAAGACAAAGATAGAAGAGAAGGGAAGAAAATTGTGAAGACAGTAAAAACCTATTCTGTGTTGTGGCTTGATAAAATCAATTTTACCTTCCTCTTCCTTTATCCTCTTTGTGTGAGTAGGTCTCATTTTGAATCAACCTTTTTCTTTTTTCATCAATAATTAAGAATTATAGTGAGATATCGGGAATCGTTATCAAATGTCGTTACTTCATTATTGTATAAATTCCATTGGTATGGTAGTACTCTACCTCACGTGTTAATTGACTAGAAGAAGTTTTAGAAAAAAACAGAGCTGTCATCTTTTAAAATTAGAGTTTAAGCTAAGTTTATAGATTTGCCGGGTTATTAACTCTTAAATTGAATTAGAAAGTCGTGATTTCACAAAGGGACGCTGTTCGGATTTCAAGGTAATTCTCAGGTATTCGGATGGTGGTGCATTCATGGCATCACAACGGGCCATTATTTTTGCTCATGTAGGCTTTAATTTACAAACTTGTCACTCTATTGCAACCTAATCTAGTTACTTAGCATGGGACTCCTACCACTTAGCAAATATTAAACCAACTTTGAGCTCTAATTAAGTCCAGTTTTTAATCTTAGCAATAGATACTTATATAAGAGAGTTAAAGATTTAATTGTCTCAAAAGTTCTTTCTGCTTCTGATTAAAGCTGGGTGTTTCATAGTTTTAATTTAATCTTCATCTCAACAAAGTATACAATATTTCTAAAATGGAACCGTCATCTTAAAAGCATTTTTATCAATTTAGTGTATTATTAGGCTGAGTAGATCTCATGATTTTTTTGTTTGAACTTTCGGACACCTTAACACGATCAAGAAGTGCCTTGTTTAGTGAAAACCAATTGATAAGAAGAAAATATGTCGAAAAATAATTAACAATAAAAGAGTAGCAACGTTTTTCTCCATATTTTCGAATGTTTTTCGTAAGTCTTTTTGGATTATAAAAATATTGTAATATTAAATCTTAAAATAAAATCATTTAATAGATTGATCTCTATTATGATGGGTCAGTCACCTACGTTTTGTAATGAAATCAAATTTTAGTTTATTATTATTTCGTTTTATATTAACGCAAAAATCAGGAAAAAATTTTATTAAACATTTGAACTAAACATCTCAAATAATTTATATGTCATATATTAGTTTTTATGTTAATATACGATATAAGAGTGAGAGGAGAGAGATGGAAAGTAAAGACATAGATGAGAAAAGTTTTCACTAGTAACGTCTATAAATCCGTCAGCTAAAATTATCGCAATTATGTATTGTTTTTTACTGTGCACTTATAAAATATGTAAATTGTGCAATACCGAAATTTAATCGTTATTCCAAGCGCTGTTTTTTATAAAAAAATAGTTAAATATGTAATGACAACTCAGCGAAGACATCGAAGACACCGAAGACTCACTCAAGTCGCTTCATTTTAGTAAGGAAAGTGCTTTGCACACGTAAAGTTACGTCAAAATTTGTTGTGTATTTATTGAGTTGTCACATCTCTTCAGCTCGTATTTGGAATCCAATTAACAAAACAAATACGACGACTCATAGAATTTGAAAGCCATCGATTCAAATGGTCACTACACTTGACTAAATCGTTTGGAAGGTGTGAATTGCTTTACGTAATAATTGAACTTTAAATTATCGCCTCAATTGAATGCAATTCAATTGGCTCATAAAACAGGGGCGAGAAAGTAGTCTGAAAATAGTCAACAAAAGACCTATTACTTAATCCATTTGTTGGAAGACTCTTTGAAATATAGAAAATTCAAGAAACTTTCACTCTTAAATCAGCTAAGATTCAATTTCTCTTAAAGTAAGAAAAGTCTAAAGGATAAAAATAGACGAATTCATTCTAATTAAAGAAAATCAAAATAGTGGGTTGCTTGAAGGATTTTTAAATATTCCAGATAAAATAACTAATTCAAAGAATGTACATATCAGTGTAATGGAATAAACTCGAGCTGTATTTTGGAGTAAAATTTAAAGCGGTCTTCTAGTCAGTTACATTTCTTTTTATTTAATTTTTTATTTTAAATATTTCAAATAATTAAATAGTGTCTATAATAAGTAACCAATAACCGACCCTAACTGAATAGAATATACTCCGACCTTCAAATAAAAATGCCTTCCGATGAGAATTTGTTAATATCAGGCAGAGTTAGGCACACCCCACCTAGTATCCTCAGTTGAAATCCTCAGTTCCATCTTATTGAGATGATAATACAGGCCTTGGTAATGCACCAGTGCTAAAATTCTCAACTCTGTGTTTTTGATGGTGTCTCTTGAGTAGCTGTTAAGTCTAAAGCTTACCCAAAGTATCGCGCTAATAGTGGTTTCCTTTAAACAGGATTTCTCATGCCCTAGTTTTTTTAACTATGCCTTTTAATACTCAATACTCTTCGGTTTTCGTATACTAAGCTGAGGTTACTGAACTCTAGAAAGAACAATTCCTGTTAACATGGACAAAAACAGCTCTAAATGAAACTGTGGTCGGCAATAGATTCTTTTTTAATAAGCTGGCTTATATCAAAGAGTTGCCTAGGTTTGTTGGTATCCTCCTCATGTGGGTACTTGGACAAACAGATAGTTTTGGTACCTATAAAGCAGATGAAGTCAAATCTGATAAGTGCGCTTCGATATCCACATCTCTGGTATCTGGTATTCCTCTTGGAATTGCTTAACTAGCAATTAAATATTAATATCTAGAGTTGGCAAAAAAACTATGGTTAGTAGAAAATTTTTGTTAGATCAGAAGACTGAGAGCAGTAGTTAAAAATGCCATTATGTCCTTTGGAGAGATGATGCCTAATTCCGTTATAAGGGGATAAGCAGTTGATAAGTACCGATGTTTGAGTCTGGTGAGTCTATCACAGCGACATATAATGTGTTGTGCTATTTCCTCTTCTTCGTGACAAAGTCTACAGCTATCGTTTCTTGTAATACCTAGGTTTGACAGATGCTCCTTAAGTCCACAATTTTCAGTTAGAAGCCTTGTCATAGGTCGAATGCCTTTTTTGTTCAGCCTTAGAAGCTTCCTAGTTCTGGCTTTTATTTAATGCCATCTTGTATTTTGTATAACTTCTACAAAAATTATCTCACATATAAGAATAATTTAGATTTTTGTTTCTTATAATACTACATACCAAGATTAAATAATTAAATGATTATGATAATGAAACAATCGCTAAAGCATTTCTTTGACATTCTTAGTCAATCTGCAATTTATGCATTCGTTGTTAATCACTGACTACGAAATCCCACACATATTCGTCATATTCGTTTTCCGATACGCTCTAGAGATTCGTTTCTTCTTCTTCACTTATTAAATTTAAATTCATGTGATTATATAATCTTAAGGCTATAAAAGTACATTGACAATTTTTACTTCATAAAAAATTAAAAAAAAATTAATAAAATAATTTAAAGTCACAATTAGTTTCACTCAAATAAGGCCTTACGCCATTAAAGCTGTTGTTCGTATGCCTTATGACTGTAAAAACCTAAAAGGAGAAGCCAAATTATATGAATATATTTAAGTACACATACATATATATATAAATAATAATAATAATAATATATAGTTAATGTGAATACATAGCGAGAGCGTTAAGTTCAATTAATATGTGGAAGGCGTTTTAGAATTTGACATTTTTCTTCCATTACCGTCTTACGAGAATGAATTTATGTCTAATTTTCGCATTAAAATATAGTCACACACGGGTCACAAATAAAAGGGGAAGTATTCAAGAGGAGGATTTTTAATAGCCCAAGTAATTTGACTCATACATTTTGTGTGTTTAAAATTAATGGCTTTTTTGTATGACAGTTGAATAATAATTCCAGTAAAATAGTTCCTATTTGGTTTAAAGTTGAAAATAATAAAATATTTTAATCTGCGCTATTGTTAAATAAGCGTTAAAATTCATAAATAAATAATATTTTGTTTATAATTGCTCGTAAAAGCTAAAATATGTTAGGAGAAAATTGCTGGGTGGTCTGTGGTCTGACTCTGTTAACAATGTAAATCGATTAGGGCTACAACCATAAACTCTAATAAATAAAAACTTTAAGTGATTACAGGAAAATGAACTCATCTCTAACAAAAGCTAACTAAAATTAAATATCTTAGGTTTGAGGTTTTAGTTAAAAAAACAATTTTCTTATTAAATAATAAAGAAAGCTATTTATTTCAAACGTTCGTAAACTTTAATATTGAGCGAAAGCTAAATAAATCATTAGTTTCTCTACTGTGAAAACATTTTAGAAGTATAGATGTTAAATTGCAGATGGTTGCAGTCTTTTCTATTTGACGAAACTTAGACTTTAAAAAGCACATCCATTATAATACTTAGAACTTTGGTGATCTTAACAGTAATGTATTGTCAGCGAGAACGGTCAGCGGCTGACTTTCGCGAATTGTTACTGGTACTGAGTGCCGTTACATTATTTTTCAACTCGTTCCTTCAAAAGACGTCCTATAGTGCTTTTCCCTTCAGTAGATAATGAATCCAATTTCTATCTACCCGTAAATGTATTCATACATTTACATGACGTGATTCTTAAGTAAATCAATATATATATTATATATATATTCTGAATCATTCCATTCGATAATCGTTCCCAAAGCGCAAAGTGTTAATAGATATTCCGAAGAATTTATTACTATTGATCATAGTCCAAGGTGCACCATATAGCACGACAGATAAATAGTTCAAATTCCACTGCCATAAGATACTTACGTGTTTAATCTATTATTTCTAATATTATTGTTTTGCTATTCCAAATGCAACCTATATGGTAAATCAGGAATAAATGATAGTCAATTTTGTCAGTTATGGAACATTAGTAGTTTTGCCTACGTTCTCTATTTATGAAATAAACATAATGAAATATTATTCTTAATCCGAGTTCTTTTGATTCATCAAAATAATCTGATTTACAAATGCAAGAGTGTATAATAAAGATGAAAGCTATTAGAGATGTTGGATTAATAGTCTTCTCCAAAGGATGTATTTGTCTAGCGTGCGAATTTTTGATCCATTTTTTGATAGATTAAATTTTATTATAGAAGTTGTTTTTAATGATCATATCTAGGAATCTAAGTACGCCAGAGTCATACATTATTTCCACTCCTTTTGTTAAGTAATGATTTTTTGCTTAAAAACATTTATTTTGCGTTTTGTAAATATGTACTATAATTATTATTTAATGACACATTTATATATTTTATCTAATATTTTCATACATTGCTAGGTACTTTGGGTTTTGCACAGTCGCTATATTCGCCGGAAGAAACTTTATCACAGATATTTGCGAATAGTGTTGCAAACAGTACGGATTTAGTACGTGCGGTAAGAGAGTCAATCAATATATACGATCTACATCACAAGCAAACTAAACGATCCAGGTAGGCTTTTTCATACTTTATATTATTTTAACAATTTATCTAATTTTCTTATAGAGCTAAGCGTGCTATAAAACGTGTATGTTATGGCGAACTTGGTTGTTTCGAAGATTCTGGCCCATTTGCGTATTTAGAAATGCTGCCATCAGCGCCAGAAGAAATTAATACAAAATTTTACTTTTACTCAACGAAAAATAGATCAGATCGCCCATTGATGGAGCTACCATTTCTGAACATGACAGATGCTTTCAAAAATGCCACCAAAACTCCAAATAAACGTAGCGCTAGTAATATCACAACAACCACTACAACAACAAAGCGTAGCGCTTTTCGAAGATCACCTACCACCATAAACGATTTAGAGGGTTTCGATGACATGTCTGTGCGTATAATTGTACACGGTTTCGGCTCAGCTTGTCCACATGTATGGATCTATGAAATGAAAACGGCACTTATGGCAGTGGTACGTTTTCAGATTTGTGGAGAAGACTAGTTTAACTCTATAGCAATTTTATTATTTTAGGAAGACTGCATTGTGATATGTGTTGATTGGGAGAATGGCGCCACATTTCCAAACTATGTTAGGGCAGCAGCCAATACGCGTTTGGTTGGCAAGCAATTAGCTATGCTAATCAGAAATCTGAAGGAACATAAGGGTCTCAATTTGACGCGTACGCATATTATTGGCTTTAGCTTGGGAGCACATGTATCTGGCTTTGCTGGTTCAGAGCTGGCTGGTTTATCACGGATTACAGGGCTTGATCCAGCTGGTCCACTCTTTGAGGCACAACATCCTAAAGTGCGTTTGGATAGCACAGATGCCGAATTTGTTGATGTTATACACTCGAACGGAGAAAATTTAATATTAGGTGGTTTAGGTTCTTGGCAGCCCATGGGACATGTAGATTTTTATCCAAACGGTGGACGTGTGCAAACAGGTTGCTCCAATTTGTTTGTCGGTGCAGTAACAGATTTTATTTGGTGTAAGTTTGTAAAAATATATTTTGTCGAAACTATTTTTAATAAAATTTTTAGCTGCACAAGCGGCAGAGGAGGAAGAAGGTAGATCCCTTTGCAATCATCGGCGTGCATATAAGTTTTTCATAGATTCCGTGGCGCCGCGTTGCATGTTTCCGGCATATCCATGTGCGAATTATGACGATTTCTTGAAGGGAAAGTGCTTTCCATGTGCTCAAGATGATGAGGAGTTAGAGGAGGGTATACCACGGTGTGGTAATATGGGCTACTACGCCGACCGTTCTACAGGTAGAGGGCAGTTATATTTGGTGACTCGTGAGGAAGAACCATTTTGTGCACATCAATTCCAACTGCAAATATTTAATTCATTTAATGACTTACCTTTGCGCACCATTGGTCGACTTGAAGCTACACTAGAGGGTGACGGAGGCTTAAATGAAACTTTTCAAATATCAGAGTAAGCTTTTGTGATTATGTTTCGATTAAATTTTCATTTCCTACTTTCAATAATTGCAGAAAAGATGACTCTGAATTCTACGCCGGTGACATTATATCCAAAATAATAGTACCACATCCAGCTTTAGGCTTTCCCACTACATTGAGCTTGCATTACAAATCTTATAGTGGATGGTTGTCGAAAGGTTTACCACATTGGGATATTGATAAAGTGATACTTACGGATAGCTTTGGACGTAGTCACTCTCTATGTAAGCCTTCCACAAAACTATCATCAGGCAATCCAGTGCGCATAAAACTGTTGTCTGGTAATTGTGAATTGGAAAATCAAGATGAATATGGTGCATATACTACTTTGCCACCAACTGATATACCGGATTCAAATGGACAGGAAAGTGTAGATGTGCTCGAAACAGATGGTGTTGAATCAGTTAAGCAGCGAAAGGATATTTTTAATTTGGGCACAAGCTTCAAACTAAATGATAACGATACTTTTCCACTAGAGGACACACAAGACTTACCCTGGCAACCTATACTAGAAGGTAATTCTTTAGACAAGGATACAGGAGAATCAAGTCGTAGTTTGTCTGCTGAACCAACAGAAATTTTCGAACCAGTATTGCAGGATCGTCGCCTAATGCTTGATCGTGGGCGTAATATTCAAGACTTCAGCACCACTGAAGAAATAAGAGAACCTGTTCTAAAAGCAACAACGCCCCGTATTAAGAAGGCAAAAGAAATTATCTTTACAGAGGGACCACAGATATCACAGAAATCAGATGTAGTAAAAATTACACCTTTTTCGTTAACGGGAAGAGCAGATAAACCAAAAATCACAGCACAAGCTCAGGGTGAACCATTAACAGTTCAGCTATTTCCTTTCCGTTTAGGAGATCTGCTTAAGAGTGCAGAACGTTATGCACGTGAAATGTTGTTGCCATTAATTTCAATTCAGGCACCAAGATTTTTTGGATTCAATGTGCCTAGTGAAAGTTTGAGAGAAGAACCTCGTAAACCGCGTTATATACCACGTTTTGAAGAAGTCACTTTTCTTAACTCCACTGAACTGCCTAACAAGCAAAAACAAAGCAGGAAGCAGAAATCAAACCACGATCTTGTGGCAGCGGAATCACAAGAACAGCGGAATATTTTTGCACTCATGCGTGTTCCAGATACCGAACAGAAGAAGACGCATCAGCGACGATCGTTCGATGATGTCAACTACTACACAAATGTGTTATTGACAGAGTCGCGTGCATTGCGACCGGAAAGTCCGGAATATCAACCGGTGTTTATAGATCTACCAACATACAGACCACCAAAAGCCAGAAGTTTACGTTCTCCATTAAGGAATATACGCCAACCATAGCAGGAAGCAATCGTTTTCGATTGTTGCTACTTCATTAAAAGTGATAAATAAGCCAGAAAAAGATGCTTTTTTATTTAAACCAAATTTTTATTTGAGGTTTGATTTTCATTTCGGTATTAACTGAGCTAACAAATTGCCGAGCAATTTGATATGCAACGCAAAATTATTGTGATCTAGTCTGGCGACAGATTTTATATTCATCGTTTTATTCCTGGAATACACAGAATTTAAGTCCTCATCGTAGTTTATCTCATTATGTGATTCGCCATTTACGACTTCATACATATGCACCTCTACGTTAAGGTTAAATATTTTTACTAAATGAACAATTTTGTATTTATTCATTTATTTATTATCCTTATTAGCTTTACTGTATATATGTATTTACAAGAGTTATGTGTACATTAAATGGATTCTTTTAAAGATTCTGTAAGATGTTAGTGATAAGATATTTTTACTATAATATTTTTATTTAAAAAAATATAATAAAATGTATTTTAAAGCAATAAATTAGATTAAATTTCATTTTGAATTATCTAAGAGACTTTAGGTCGTATTGATATTATTAGCGTGATAGGAAAGCTGTCACTTGATAAATAAAAATAGTATTTAATATTACTTTTCTTTATCCCAGCAATTGGATTTGCACCAATGGAAAAGTACAATAATATTGCCCTTTAGATATTGGTACAACAGAAATGGGAATGCGATATCTTACTATATCTTAATCTCAGGCAGTTCAATGTCACTACCTTTTATAATAGAATACATATCATAACAGAATTCTCATTTTGCTGACAGTTTTTTTCTTAAGACATCTAAAATTTATCGCAGTAATTGGATTTCAACCATTTGGTAAGTACAATAATAATGTAAGTAAATTGACCGATACATATTGGCAGAACAGGAATGAGAATACTGAATTTGATTTTTCATTTTCTAATATTTGACTATTTTATATTACAAAATAAAAGAAACTAAGTCACAAAGTCACTACTAAACTTCAGATTATTTTACAATCCTAAGTAGAATAATCTAAAGATTTGCCAAGTTATTTCTTAAGATATCTAAACTTAAGCCTAACAATAATAGCTCCAACTGAAAGGCATAGGATAACCAGTCACGTAGCCGAAGAAACGTCCAAGCCATACCTGACATTTACGGAAACGCTATATATATACAATTTTTTCTTTAAATTCACTAATATTTTCTGAAAGCTCTATCGAAAATAAATTTCTAGATATTGGTTTTTTTTGTTACTAACGATAAACTCCGTTTATGATCCGGGTTAAAGATGAACACGTTCGATTTTAGGAGTTTCCTATTAAGGCATATGCTAATTTTACCTTCACACTTGGAGTCGTTTTTCATATCATTATTATTTTTATTTTATTTATAACATACATACCATATACACACAAAAATAGCCTGCTGAGGATCTACATGTCCTCTACAATATAAATGTAGAACCTTCGACTTGGCACACTTGAAGTAAATCGAAAGTATCTCGTTTAATATATGTTCCAACGGGAAACTGTACTCTAGCACGGCATGGAGTTAGGGACGGCATGCCTTTTCGAATCTCCTGTAGTATATGTGCACCGTCGCCCGAAGAGAATAAACCAGAGCACTTATTGTGTCTATGTCCTGGCTTGTACAGAACCAGGCTTATGCTATTGGGCACCCCACTCTTTAACATACTCGTAGATATTTCTTATATAAATGTTGGCTAGTTTTTTGGATTTATCAATGCGTCAGGTTGGTTTTAAGTTGCCAATCTATCTATCAAAAATAACGAGTAATGTGGAATCAAAACGTCTTTCTTAGCTATTTTGAGGAGAATTCGTACTTCCTTTCACTATACCCTCATTTACATAAATATATTGCATTTAGAGAAAAAGTTAACACTACTATACTATATCTGATAGAGAGTTTCAATGATTTATAAAACATTTATTTAAATTAAACAAATTTTATAATTTTTTCTTAATTACTTATTCATTTTATTAGTTTATAATCCAAATTTGAAGTTTAGTTTTCAAAAAAACAATACATTTTTAGATAATTTATTACTATTTTCCCATTTGGTTTTGTTACTAAAATAATTCATAAGAAAATTATATTTTATTTAAAAAACAAAAAATATTTGTTACATTAAAAATTCTTAAAAAAGTTGTTCAATATGCAAAACTTTTACAACAGATATTGTTTAATTAATTAATTAATTAATTGTTTAAATTATTTCAAAACTTAACTCGCTTGCACTGAACATTTTAGGTTTTTGCTTTGATTTTCCACTTCAAGTTATTTCGTTCATTTGAAAAATTAAAAATTCTTTCGTAATAAAAATTAAATGTTAAATATCAACAAATTTACGGTAAACTTTTTTAATAATAAGAAATGAAAATATGTGGTAACGCCAGCGTCACACAAGTTACAATAATTATAATTATAATTATTATTAATTAATTTAATTTTTACTTAATTTTTAACGTTACATCTTTAAGTACTCATTGAATATGTTTTGACATTCATATATATATTATATTATATATATGTATAAATATATAATAGTACATGTTTGTATGTATGCACGTATCTGAGTACGTATCTGTTTAATAATTAATTACTTCATATGCTAAATAGTTCATATATCGTACATGCATGATGTCTATATGTGTATATGTTGGCTTATGTTTATACGTATGTCAGCTGATCCATAGTTTTATTTGATCATAAAAGTATGCTTTGATTTTGTGTTCCATGCGACTCAGTTGTGTGATAGAACTTAATGCACACATACCAGTAAAATGACACACAAAAATAATGTGTTTATGTACAAATTCTTTTTTATGTGGTGAGTTGAGAAGTAGTTGTGTCCACTGTTTTACTGCTGTTTTAATTTGATTTAAATTTTAATGTCAGTTTGTATATTATTTATAGCCACAAATGAAACATTTAATATTACAAAATGGTTTATGTTAAGTTTATAACAACACTGAAATTGGCATTTGAACTTTTTTTAGCGTAAATATAATAAAAAACTTGAATAGAAAATTATATTTTATTGTGAAATATTTTTGTTTCATAATATTTAAGTATCAAGCAGTGTTTTGTGTTCTAAAGTTGCAAAGTTACCATAACAAACTAAAATTCAAATCATAACAAAGCTGAAAGAGGCGTAAGATAGAGTGACGACATTGCTTTGATTAACAGCACTGTTAACATTGACTGTTATGGCTTCTGTACTGCATTTGTTAGCAGTGGCTTGCCATACACACAGTGGTCTCTGTCCAAGCTCTGCTATTATTTGAGTTTCAAGTGTCAAATACATTCGCGGTGTCTGTGTTTGTTTAGTTTTCAGTAGATTTATGCTCCTTAGTAGGTTTTTGTGTTCATTATTAAATTTTATTTTATTTAAATTTTATAAACATTTACACTTAAGCTAATTAGTATTCCACAATTTAATTTATTCTTTAAGTTTAATATGTATCTCAACCTGTTTAGTTGTTTAGTTGTTATTACTCTGTTTACAGAATTTTTAATACTTTTGTGTCTGTATGTCTGTATGTCTGCTTTCTGTTTAACTTTGCAGTTTCACTGCAGTTTCTTCAGTTAGTTTTGTCAGTGAATACTGCAAAATTTATTTACAATTGATATTGCAGTGAAAATCTCAAATAAAAATTTAAGAAAAAAAAAAGGAAAGTATTTATCATGAACTAAAAAACTTCAATTTCTAGTTTTTCTAATGATTACAGCGCTAGTTTATACACAAGGATTAATTATTTAAGTATTTATACATTAATTCATATATTTGGTTAAGTTCAAGGATTGCTTATTAGTTGCCATGTACGAGAGCACCTTGATTGCTGTGTAATTGTTCAATAGCTTTTTTTCATTTCAATTTCTCTTTAAGATAAATAAAATAAACTAATAATAAGACTAATAAAAACTAATTAGTTGAGAAGGAGACATACCAAAAGTAGTCAATTAATTAAAGCATTTCAAAGAAAATGTGAAGAACATCCGGATGAAGTTCACTAATCATTCCAATATGAAAACTATTTGAACTTAAGTACTTGATATTAAAATATCAATATTTAAGAAACAGAAAACTTCTTAAAATAACAAAAATTGACTTTTTCTTTGCAGCTATTTGAAAGGACATTATGAAAGAAATTCAAAGAAATTACAAAAAATTTGAATTTATAGACTACTTGATGAATAACTTTATTATTATCATCTCACAGAATTCCGGTTGAGCCAATTCATCAAGTTTAAGAATAAAATCTCAAATCCCAATTGTGTCTATAATGAAGTCCGAATTACAAAATAATCCGAACCTCTTTACGTCTGGAAGATTTGGTCACCCATTCAACTATGAGCAGTTCAGTCCACTAATCACACTAGAAAGACATTCGTTATATTAAAATTTCGATCAGGCTGCGTAAGTCAACAGCAAAAATAAAAGCAACGCAGATTGATTATAGATAGAACTCGAAAAACAGCAAACAATGCTTAGGGATTGCGCTATTAAACTGCATTGGTTCCATAGTTTTCATCTCGAAACCACTCATCTCTTCGGAAGATAAAGTGTTACTTACTTCTTGTGACATGGATATCAAGAAGCCTAATATTAAAAGTTCATGTTTTAAATCCCACATATCTCGTAAAGTACACTGACCTTACACAATATCGTTGAGATATTCATGCAGAGCACATGTAGTTGGATTAGTGGAAAGAAATGCGACATGCGGTTCTCAAGAGATCAGAATAGAGAAACCTTTTCTTTGTTTTATGTTCTTCTCAAGAGCGGTGACACCACATACGGGTAAATTGATATAAGTTGGTCAATTATCATATTGTTAGAGAAATAAAGTATATGATAAGTATAATTTTAAATGCTAGATGATTTTCTTTCTAGTCATTCTAGTGTCAGAAATTGTAGTTTTAGTGAAAATACGAACTAAAGAACTTCTCAACTGTTGAAAAATAAATTTAAGTATTTATTTAAACTAAATAAATAAATAATTACAAAAAAAAGATAATTATCTATTTGTGTTATTAATCTATAAAACTTATATTCTCTTTACTAAACTAGGCAAATTGAAAGACCACGGCACTCTCAAAAAGTTGTATGTGAGTTTGAGATGTAAGTATGCTCGTTACTCTCCTTTTTGTGGTGATTAATCATTTCGTTAAATTCTAATTCGCAAGTTTCTATATTTTATATAATATTTCTTCATTACTATCTTTACTTCATTTAAGTTTCCTTGGTTTTAATTTATATGAGCTACTTAACAAATAATTAAATATTTAATAGTTTTACGTCACTAACATTGAATTTCTGTCGTATAATTAGTATTTAAGTATCTTCTCCTCATTTCATTTTTAAAATTTTTTTTTTCATTCAAATAAATACATTATTAATGTATTCTTATACTGTTTGTTTACTATTTTAATATTTATAAGACATTTATAGTTAATTCAAATATAAATAAATAGCTGCATCTTTTAACTATTTTATTATATAAATATGTATTACTTTCAGTGTTTTATTTCAAGACAAGAAAAAGTCATATATATATATATATTTTTTTTTTGTTAAATATTTTCACTCAATAATTTTAATATTTATTTAATTCTTTTAATTTTGTACAATTTATTTCAAATTTTATGTAATTTAATAATTCATTTAAATATTTGCTAACATTTTCAATGTAGTTTGCTTATGCTTAACATTTTTCAATGTTTTTTTCATTTATTTACTTTTCATACATAATTTTAACTTAAAATTACTATTTATATATAAATATATTTATATATATATATTATGATATATTTTAGACCATCAAGGTGCTTTTCAATTGTTTAATTATTAACGAAACATATGAATTGTCTGTTTGTATTTAACAAATTAATATGTTTCAGTTAAAATTAAGAGCGGGATCCTGCCCTATTAACAAAATTAAAAACAATAATATAATTAAATAGTTAATAATATTTAAATAAAATAAATTTAAAATTTAACACATATTTGGCCACAATTTGTCACTTTCTTAAAAAAAATATAAAACAAAAATAAAATAAAAATTATTTTAAAAATAATACACAAAAATCGCAATATTGTTGTCATTCTTGTCAATATGCTTCTCGCATTTACATAAATGTTGTGCCTTTTTGTTGTTATTGTTTTTTTATAAAATTAAATAAAATTAAATGAAATTAAGTCTTTTTTATTTTAAAAATATGTTATAGAAACGCTCATAAATTTTTTTACTTATTGAAAAATTCAATTTTTCACAATTTTGCCTAAGCTTAATTTTAGCTTAAAATATTTAATAATTTACAAATTATTAAAAATTGTTAGTAAATTTTTTCATGCAATTAATAATTATATATAATTTTTCACAATTTCTTTTTTAATTTTACTTTAAAATAGTTTTTCAGGCTGCGAAGACAATAAGTATTTTCAGTTTAGAAAAGAAAAGTGGAAGAAATAATTTAGTACAGTGCGCTCTCGTTCTGTTGGTTCAACAGTTTGTTTGCTTTGAAGTGCATGTCAGCGCTTTTGACGTAAGTCAATTTTAAAACAACATAAAAACTTTAAATTTAAGGTTTAAAGACAATTTTCAACTTTTTTCCTTCACTTATTTGTTAGTAAAAAGTGTTAATATTAGTTTTATAATTTTTATATTATTTTTACAAAAAGTCTCTAGAGTTTTAATAAAATTTTTACATTAATTTTCTTTATAATAAGCTTACAATTTTTTTTTACATTAAACATTTTTTTCATTTTTAGTAAAAGTTAAATATTAAGTTTAACACATTTAGCTACCATCTTTGAAGTTAATTAGGGTGTACTTTTATAGTATAATTTTTGTTTTTACTTTATATATATATATAATATTTTAATTAAATTCGAGTTCAATATTAAAAATTTTCATATACTTCAACTATACTTTTTTTTTTTAATTTTTCTGTTTTAATTTATTATTTTAATATGTAAGTTAATATTTTAGTATTGCCAGTTTAGCCAACTCTTGTGATTGTTAATGTGATGTATCATTTCAAATTATAAAAAATATTTAAAAAAAATTAAATAGTTTTTGGAAAAGAATTTTAATAAATTTTGATTTTCTTTACTATTTCCTGCCATATTTATTGTTTAAATTTTTTTCTAACTGAATAAATTTTTAATCTTTTGCGTTTGTCGAAAAATTTAAATTATTTTAAAAATAAATGATCAGCAAAAATACATTCTTTTCTTTTTTGCTATTAAAATATTTGGGTCTGAGCTTTAAAAAAGGTTTTTCTTTTAAAAAATAATAAATATAGAATACAACTTTATATTAATAAAATCAATGAAACAATTTAAATAATGATAAATTAAAAATATTGCAACAAAAGCATAAAATATACATAATTTAAAAGGCTTAAATTTTTTTTAATTTTAAAAATATTTCATTCAATTTAAGAATTCGTCCAGTTCTTATTTAGTCAAATTAATTAAAATATTTTATGCTTTCGTTGAAATTCATAAATAAAAAAATGCATTAATATTAATTTTAAAAACTTAATATTAATTAGAAATTCTGCATATTGTATTCATTTGTTCTAGTTCTTTTTTTTTGTTTTATTTTTTGTCGATTTTAAAAATAATATTTTGTGCTTTTTCCAAAAGTTTGGTGTATCTTTCAGTTTCAATATTTAAATAAAATAAAATTAAATTTCTTGTCTGGCTTGCTAATTGCTATAACTAAAGATTCTTCTTCTTCCCATTCTTCTTCTGCTTCACCTTAGTTTGTTGTTTAGTGAAGATTGATTCATTTATTTTGAGAGAGTTCCTTTTAGATATCATCTCTGTTTCTTTAGTTTGCTTTTTAATATTTTATAAACATTCTTATTTTTTTGTTAAGGATTTTCTTAAAATAAATTTTACATTTTTTTTTTGGTTTTTTGTAAGTTTTTTAGTTTTTGTTTTGGTATTTGTTGTTGTTGCTGTTATTGGTAAATTTTTGTTGTCACTAACGTATCAATAAAAAGTTTTGCGCCTTTTCGGTCAACTTTCTGCAAATTCCTACGACTCTCCGTCACATTCCAGCATGATGGCTCTGATTTTGACTCCCCGACGGCTTTAAATCAGACGACGGATCGTTTTTATTATTTTCGTTTTCTTCAGACTCCTCAACTTCTGCAAGATTCTCCTGATCGGACTCCTCAAGTGTTACCTGAAAAATTTGAAAAGTGAGAATATATTAATAAATATGTTAAAAAATATATATATTTTATTTAAAAAATTATTATAAGATTTTCAGTACATAAATTTATAATTAAATAATAAAAAAAAAAAGAATTGCCACTGTTAGTGTGATACTAACTTGAAATCTAATTTTATCATCAGATGGTTGTTCATCTGCTGCGGATGGTGGTGGTGATGGTGGTATCATACTCTGATAATAGTCTCTATTCTCTTCAAGCGTATCTAAAATGTCTTGTGCATCGGGATGTACCAAATCTGCCCAAGTCTCCCATAATGGATGCACAATATAATCGATGAAACCAACTTGTGATTTCTCAATAGTTGCATTATGACGATCACACATAGGACTAATATCCATGCCAGCATCACGTTCTTTGTCACCTTGTAAGAAGAATTCCTCCATTAGAAGGGCAACCCAACGTTTATACAATGGTAATGGTTTTGTTGGATTGCTTAAATCTGCGCAATGGACGAGGTTTTCGAGCACCTAAAATAATGATAACAAAGTTATTTATTAAATTTCAAATACCTAAGACATTTACAAGGAGTATTTAATATCTTTTTTTAATATTTCACAATATATAAACCATAATGGTAAACATTATGTTAAAATATACAAATTTTTGTCACGAAAATGTTTACAACAAGCATATATATATTTTTATTGCGAAAAGCAAAAAAAATTCTTCTTCCTCCTTATCAAAGCCCTTTGTTGCCGTTGTAGCGTGGGTTAAATTCAACAAAATTTCTTTCATTCTTGATGGATTATAGCATTGTATTTATTTCGTTCATCAATTTTATTGTTCTTTTTGCTGTCTCCAAACCTTAATCCACAAATGTGACCATTCTTCGCCCAACAGGTCATCATCATTGAGCTTTTACTTATAGGTACGTTTGAATATTCTCGATTGTAGTATTCGACTTTATGTTGTAAAGCGTATTTTGATTAATATACCATCGTTTCGTGTTATTAATATATTATGTTTTCACATTCTTCAGCATGTTGCAAACATTTATTAGACAGTACGTATATAACATGACATATTTCATGTATTTTTTTTTTCATCTTACGATACAAGTACTTGGAGTATTTCTTTTATTTACCTGTATACGATCTGTATAGTTGTCTAGAAGCAGCACTCCGGAACCAGCTACTTTCTTAGTTTCTACCATAGTTTTCAAATCAGCCAAAAGGCTCATGTGTTTGGACATGTCAGTGGACAGAACTATATCAATAACCATTTTTCTAAGAGTTTGGCGTTGTTTCCTGTTTAATGGAAATAAATTTATATTATTTGAAATTAATTTGTTTTACAAAATTGTAAAATTATATTTAGTAAATGGAAGATGAAAAGAATAAGTATTTCGTAAATGATAAAATGGGTATATAGCAATTTGTTAGTGTGATGTGCTCAGCTTTATTTCATAAGTCGTTCTTTTCATTTCATTTAAGTATTAATATATATTCTTGCATATATATAATACTTCTACTAGCATATTCATTATATCAACCAATTTGTTTTGTTATATCTATTTTATAATATTACTGTATGTATCTCATTTTGTTTTATATCACTTACTTTTGCATATTACAGAATATATCACATCCCTGGTTTTGCAATAATTTAAAGGCAACGGCTAAATGGTGGTTTTCAAGAACAGATTCGTCGTTATACATTAAAGCTAATTCAGAGCCTGAAATTGATCAAAAATGGCACTTATTATCTGATATATATTATTTAGTACTAATAAAAAAAAAACAAATATGACTTATATGATAATTATTATTTTAATCGTTCTTTTATATCAATTCTATTGGATAATGTAACTAAATATTTTTATTATTGATTGTAATTGTTGTATTAATAAAAAAATATATGAAAATTAATAAACTAGATATTTATATATAGAAGTAATTAATTTTATTTACAGAATTTAGAACAGAAAAAGCACTATTTTATTACATACAGAATAAATTCTGTACTAAAATAGAAATACCTTCTGATCAAAAAAGAACGAGAGGCCTATTTTTGAATTCCCGCACTTATCCAATCGGTAAATTTTTTTTATTTTCACGCTGGCAACACTATTATACACATTCTATCAAGTTTAACGCATATCGTACGATTAGTTTTTGTTTGGCGTCTATACAAAAAGTCGAAAAATTTTCGTTATTTTTTGATCACAAGGTATATCTAGTTACTAATTTAATTGCTCAATTTTTTCCATCTGAAAAATAAAAGTGAACTACTCTGTAATAATATTTTCAAGTCTTTAAGTCTTTTTTTATAGTCTTTTATAGTTTAATATATTCTAAATATAATAACTAAAAATGACCTATTAAAGATAAATTTATTTGTACTTTATATATTCCATAAACTTACTTGAATTAACTAAATATTGATTAGTTAAGCCAGGATGATCAACATCGTGTATACAAGCGGCAAATAATGCACCGCCCACTTCTAATGGAGTAAAAACACCTTCCAAGGCTGGGGTATTCAGTAATACATTCGTGCTTTGAGTTACATCAGCCGCATGCAGTGAATTGTGAAACGGATTGTCTTTAACATAGTGGTCCTCCAGAGTAGTCATAAAATTAAGAAAAGTTTTCGGTGGTATCATAAGACTGGTCAGTAATTCTCTACTCTGTAAACAAAACATAAAAATAGATTTGACGGCACTGATGAAATAAATGATATAAATTTTTGAGCTTACCTGAAATATTGTGTATGCAACACAGGTGAGAGGTCGACTGTTACTTAGTTCACCAATTCTAAATATCTCAATGCCCCACGTATTCAAATCGCCCAACAATGTACCGAGCGCATTCTCGTGCGGTGTTTCCACGCCAAATGTGGGCAATCGCTCACCAGTAAATGAATTTGTATGTGATAATGGACGCTTGACACCTGATATTTGTGACATGGGCGGACCGCGCGGTGAACGACTGACGGAGTGCAATGCGGAAATTGGTTCCGGATTTTCTTCTACACGCATTGAAGGTAAATCAAACTCTTGTTGTTTGTCTAAAATATAGAAAAATAGCGATTATTATTCATCAAACATATTAAAAATAACATGAATAGCATATATTTAGATAGTTTTATAAAATAATTTTATTTCATTTAATTTTACTGGCTTCATTTACTTAAAAATTTAATTTATTTTAAAATTTTATTTTTATTTTATATCTTTTTTTAGTTATTTAAAAACTTAAGTATTTCAATTTAAGATCCTTAAGAAAACATTTGCTACTTAAATGCTCTACCATAAGTTTTTTGTTAACATTAAATTTTTTAAATTTGTCTCCCCCTTCCCCTCCGCTGTGATTCCTCCCTAATAATTTCCCATAAGTAAAATGTATTCAGAAATTCAAATAAATTCAGTTTTCCCCCCTTTGATTTTTGCTTACATCCAACCACTTTTTAACTTAAGTTAACCACAGCAGGAGTTCATATAAAACAGCGACAGCAGCAACAACAACAACAATAATACTGGCAACAAGCCCCACAACAATTGCAACAACAAAGCTTAAAATGCAAAGTGATGATTTACGTCAATTTCAAGAGTTTTCCTACTTTTTTCCCGTGACTTATTGTGGAAGCCGCAAGTATTGTGGAGCACAAGTGGCAGTGTTGCCAACATACATAAACGACAACAACAGAGTCAACAATGTTGCGTACATACGAACTCATATGCTGTTACTTAGTCAACAAAGAGGAAAGTGGGTGGCAGAGCGATAAAAAAACTCATTCAATATGCGAAAAAAGTTGAAGGGTTGAACTGGCATTTTCACTTTTTGTGCGGTTTTAAAAGAATCCTGTAGGATTTGTATTGAGAGATACTTTTTTTTGGTTCTTCGTGGTTTAATAAAGTCTCAGTGTAATGCACAGGATATTCGCTACCACCAATAAATAATCGTTGGAATTCAATAACGGTAACTGAAATTTGGAGGTACATGAATAAGCCAAGTGTTTTTTTTTGGATTATTTGAACAAAATTTATAAAGTTCCGTGCCTGAATAATTTAAATTCTGGTTAACGCAGAATGGTAATGTAATTTGGAATTTGTAAAGGATGCTTATATTTGATGAGGCAAATTTATTTCAGTTTTTATTGAGATTTACATAACATAAATTAAGGAAGGCAAGAAAATGTCTGTCAGTAGTTTTGGGAAAGAAGGTGATACTTATAAAGTTCGTTCGTCACTAATACGTATATCATTACAAATACAAATATCTTTAATTCATGGAGTGAATCAAATAAAGTCAATATTTCAAACAATATTAAACATTAAGTTTTGCAAATTTGAAACTTGTGTGTTATCGGTATCTACTCTGTAGATCCAGACTTCTATTACTACTCGTACAATATATATGAAGGACAATATTGGAAATGTTTCTTTTAAAACTACTCCTACTCCTTTTAACAGTTATTAATGCACATAAGTATTAATCCAAATAGTATTACGAAATATAAGTTCATTTCCAAATGTCTAGTCTGAGAAGTGAAGGTCTCGAAGCTTACTAGAAAGTCTTTCCACAACTTTTTCTTCATCTTTCTCAAATCTGTTTCAAACATTTCTAACTGGTACTTTTACAAAACTTTTCCTATTTATTAGGTACTCTAGTACCGATCTCATTAACTCTTTCCATTTCATATTCTGCATTTCTATTAAGAAGAATGTAAATTAAACTAAAACTAAAATGGAACATATTTAGGAAATGTTGACTTTCAATGGAGTTTTCCAAATACACAAATTTTCTTATCAATCAAATTTACTCGTTTGATATTTTCTTAGTATCAAAATAAGGCTTAGACGTCATTTTATTTGCTAATGAGTTGCTATACGTACTCGGCTTATGATTTTTCACTTTTCCCACTAAATATTATTTATTCCCACTTTATTTTTTAATATTTTTACTTTATTTAAAACTTTTTCAATCGTGCTTAATAACATTTACTTTTTAGTTGGCAACGCTGGGTGTGGTTTTCACGGTTTCATTACACAGTTTTTCCCAGCATTTTAACAGGCAGGTACTGTAGCCGCAACGGCAGCAGTCAAATCCTGCGTGTACGCTTGGAGTTCCTAACAACAACAGCAACAACAATAATATCGGTATTTTGTTGTTGTTGTTGTAGAAATTCACAGTACACCGTGTTATTCTTTGAATATAAAATTTCAATTTAATTTGAATTAATTTGAATTTTCTATTTTTTGGTTTTGTTTCTGTTGTGCTTGAAGACTTATTCTGCATGTTTTGCCTGTATGGACTTGCTTGTTACTCAACAACCGACTACCGCCCACATTCAGTTAGATTCACAATCATTTTAGTGGTTTCAATGTTGTTCCTTTGCACGTTACTGAAGACGGGTGCTTCGCTTAGTTACCAGAATTTTGCAATATCCTGTGTATCCTGCGAGTATTTGCAAGTTTTTATTGAAGTATTCTTATACTTCTGTGGGTATGCCACGCTTAAAACTGCGAGTAGAGGCATATAAATAAAAATAAATAAAACTTAGAGACTTCCATTTGCAGTCCTCGTGCTTCGCTGCACCCCCCATAGGCGTACACTGTTTGTACACTGAGCGGTTACCTATTCACACAATAAATGACTATAATGCTTCTAATTTTCTATTATTAAACTTTATTTTTGGTATATTTTGCATTTAGGCTTAACGTGCATATTTACTCAAGTGGAATCGCCTAATGTGTGATAAGTAAGAGGGGGGAAGATGTAAAAATCATAGCAACTACAGCAGTTACATTGAGGCACATTGAGACACCTTAAAGCAGCAACAAGCGTAATTTTTATATAATATTTTTTTTTCTGCTACTCTACTTAAAATGTATCTAAATTGCTATAAAACCGCTCGGCAATCCTACTGTGATCTTTTAATGGATAATGCATGAGCTCTTTTATGATTTGCCTCTGACGGTAGAGCGGCCCAGCATTTCATTTAAATTTTAAATTAAAGTGACTGAGTGTGTAAATTTATTGTGCAATGAAAGCTCAGGAGAATTGTGTGAATGATTTTTTTGCTTCACAATTTTATTTCATGTTTTTATCTAAACACACGTTTTCACACGTTTTTACGATAGAATGTAAGACGATTTAGGAATGTTAAAGAATTTGCTAGAGTTTCAAAGGTAGAAGTCAGGCAATGTTAGATTTCGGTACTTAGACAAAGCAAACTGGTAATTTTTTTCCATTACTTCATTATTGTAAATTCTAATAAAAAAAGGATAAACCTAAGTACCTTGATTAAAAATTATATAAATTGGTATTAATTTCATGCCTTAATATAAAAAAAAAATAATTTTCAAGACAGCTCTAATCGACTACAACAACCACTTATTGTTTAGATATATCTTAAGTAAGACTTATATACGTATTTCGCGTAATTTAAATAGATTTTACTTATAAACACATTTGTAGAAAATATAAATCTATTCCACTGATCTACGGATTATTAAATTCTACCATTTTTCAGGCAGAAATTTTTGCTATCCTGAGAATTGCCTAATTAGCCCGAAGAGGGAAAGAAAACCCTCCTTCGAAAAAAAAACAACACACTCTATATGTCTGTCTTGCTGTATGGTGAAGAAATTTGAACAATTACCAATAGCGCTGAAAAGGCGTTAAAAGCATACGAGAGAAAAATCCATCGGAAGATCTATGGTCTGGTATGTGTTGTCAACGAGTATCGAATTTGCTAGAACAATGAGCTATACGAGCTCTATCGTAACATTGAAATAGTTAAGCGCAACCGCAATCATGTGGGTGCGTGTTCAAATCACGACTGGGTCACCACATTAGCAATGATTTCGTATCGTTTAACCCATATACACTTACCCAGGTTTCAAAAAGTTATCGAATAAATTTCAAAAGAATTAAGTTTTGCATTTAAAAAGTTTGACATATACACATTTTCAAATTAAGAAAAATTTGCTCTGCCAACTTGATTGGTGATACCACCTGTGTGAAGTTAACACACAATTAAGGCTTGTTTAAGTCGTGCGAATGAAAGAAAGTGTTCCGGCTAAGGAGGTATTCGGTTTGGTATCCACTGCTGGAAAACACAGTAGAAGACGCTGAAGGCATTTCCGAACTATCAAGTGGGGACAGATAGTCACTGATTGGACTATTTGGCTGGGGCTTCTGGACGCAACCAAGGACGGCTTACTTTTGCACTGACCAATTAAGGGAGTAAGTTAAGCTACAGTTATCTATTCTATATATTATTTCTTATTGAGGACTTAATGAATACAAATAAAAGTATATAATAAAAGTACATAATTTCTTGTTTATATGTACTTGTAGAATTTCATTGTATAAATCTCTTATATAAAACATAATTTAGCCGAGGAGACTTAGGGGCATGAGTTGAAAAAACTTTTTTATATAGTGAAGAACATTCAAATAGTTTTGATTAACTTACCCAAGAAGGTTGAACAGATATATTCTGATATTTGGTTGCCGGATCTGCTTGATTCACTAAAGTGTGAAAGTTCTTTGTTAAGCATACGTTTGAACTGTAATTAAATTAATTTAATTATTTAACAAAATTATTGATTTAATAAAAAAAGTACACTTCACTATAATAAATCTTTTTGAATAGTGTGAAGTCTACTCTTTGAAATTCGAAGAAAATTTACTTACCTTCAACGATGCCATGTCTGATACACTGCGATGTGTTTGTATGGTTTCCAATTGATCCAAACACCAGTCTAACTCCTCGATAGTATCGGTGGCTAAACGATTGTATGCCTCATCACCTTGAGCCAATTGTACACTGGCCACTGAACCACGTCCAACCGTTGATGATTGCGTTGGTCGTCTGGATCTTGTTTGATTAATAAATGTTTTCCAAAACAAAAACAGAAACAAAAACACAACAAAAAGCAAAAGAACAAAAAGCCAACAACACAAACATATATACAAAAAGAATCACAAAGCAGCGCAACCATACAACAAAGCAACACAATACACCACACAACAGCAGCAACAACAACAACGATAATGGCAATGAGCACAATTAGTACGAATGGTTATGAAGCAACAGGTGCAAGAATTTAAATTAAAAAAAAAGTACGAATTACAATAAAATAAAAAAAAATAAAAATAATATAAAATTGTAAATGAAAATACAAAAAAAAGAAATTATAAATAAGAAAAGAAAAGTAAATGTGATAAATATAAATAAAAGCAAATAAAGCAGTTGAAGAAGAAGCATAGCAAACATTACGTTTAGTTTGTTTATGCAAAGGAAAAAAAAGAAAATGAAGTTGAATGGTTGATGAAGTTAAAAAAGTAGGCGTGGTTGTGTTGTTTTGTGATTATTGGTTTCATATAATAATTATTTGTTGTTGTTGGAAATTTTGTCAGATTATGAAAACATTTATGTTGTACATCGAGAACGAAATCACATCACAATGGATTTTCACATTTAGAAATTGTAAAAATATTTTTTTTTATTTTATTTTTTTATTTCGATATTATTTTGATGCAGGAATTCAAAAAACGGAAGAGTTATGCATATAAAAAGAGAGAAAGAGAAAACAAAAGAAAAGAAAATTTGAGTTAAATTCTGGTGTACAACAATTGGATGGTAATAATAAATATTAATATAATTAATAAGAAAATTAATTCTTCACGTGAAACATCGAAAAAAACACACATTTAGGGGATTTTTTTTTTCAAAATAAATTTTTTTTATTATTAGAACAAGAAGAGGCACTGCACTACAGAGAGGGAGGTAGATGGTAATAGAGAGAATGATGTAAGAAAAATATGAGCTTGCTTTTAGGAGGCTTTCGTTAAAGATGGACATACGGTGTTATCAGTAGTGAATACGGAATTAATCGAGGACCTTAATTAGTTTAATGTTTTCATTCAACAAAAAAAATTAATACATTTTTTATTTTAATATTTCGTTTAACGTTAATGGCTCATGCCACACTAGAGTAATTGTTGAGGATTAAAATTGTTGGATTGATTGTTAATGCTTTCTACACTTCATGAATTCTGCAGGTTAAAAATTCGTATATACGAACTTTGCTTGGGTGTGTGGGTATGTAAGAACGCAGAAGAAATATTTTGAGAAGTATGTATTTTATATCGTTTTGACATTAAGAATAAAATGATCGTGTAAATGTAAAATATTGTGCATGTATTGTTTTTATAACCTCTTCTGAGTAAACTCATAAGGAATCTTTTAATCCACTAAATTCAGTAAACTGTGCGAAAACTGTTATAAAAACTAATTTTAATCTTCGATTTTTTTCAGAGCCATTACCATTAAAAGATTAATATTAAAACAAAGAGGAACTCGTTAAGGAATTAAAGTATTATTCTGAAATTAAAACCGATTCTAGTGAGAATCAGGGAAACAGAATCATTTTTCTATTTTTTTAGTGTTGTTAGAAAAGAAGATTTAGAAATTCTATATGCAGCTTAACAAATTTTTTTTCAAGATTGAATTTTTAAAAGTTCGTAATGAGCTACATAATGACTTTTTAATCTGTTGACATCTGTCGATTTATTAAAAGATGGTTCTCAGTCAGCTACAACATGTCTCTTTAAAGAGTGACTAATGACTTACTAAATTATGTAAAAATTATCTCTAACTTACTGAAATTTTTATGGCAGCATACTGAACCAACAAGTTTAAATAAACACTTCCGGATACCTTCCTACCCAACTATTTGATGTTAATAAAATTTAAAATTTAAATTAAAATTGAAATGCTTTTCAAGGAAAATGGAGCTACTAAACTAATATATAAGATATAAAAACACTTTTCAATTCATCCCTATGCTCTTGAAACGTTGAAATATAGTATTAGAATATTCGCGATTTTCTGGAGAAAATCTTTTTCTTTACTTAATGACATATTAAGAAATTTTTTGAATAATTTTTTACATTATTGTATTACATAATAATAAATATCTATTGTTTATCATACATTATTTAATTTAATAATGTTATGCATTAATAGTAATACACCTCAAAAAAGCTCATGCTCTTCATGTTAAGTTAAGTAAGGTTTGTAATATTACATTTCATTATTTATTCGTTAAAGTCTAAAGGTTGGGATCTACACACCAATATTTGAAAAAGAAAACACTTTGGTTAGTAAAAAATTTCGTTCAAATCCTTAACAAAATGTGCATTTAAAGGGTTAACAATTAATGCAATATAAACTGGAAGTTACTCACTTGTTTGAAGCTGGAACATTTGTCAGACTTAATAGATTATTCCGTACTGAACGTAAACTGGCCAAAATTTGGGCAAATGGAGTTACAATGAGATCTTCACCATGGCTGTAAAAAATAATTAATAACAATTAATTTAATATTTAGTATAAAATGAAATAAATTTATCTTAAATATTTGTGAAAAAATTAAACTAATATAAAAAAATAAAAATTTATATAGTATTATTTTACACATTTACATTATATCAATTCATAAAAAACAATATAATTAAAGACAAAAAAAAAATTGCAAACAAAATTAAAAAAAAAAGGAATAAAATAGAATAAAAAAAAATTTTTAAATATATTAAAAAAAAATTAAAAATTAACACTTCATATAATAATATAGCATTAATTAATCCAGTTAAGTGATCAATTAATTTATATGATTGAATAGAATATGTACATTATTGTCTATTAGTTTATACATAAATATAAAATAAATTAAGAATATTTCAAATAAAATTTGAATACAAAAATAATTTTTACATATTTACTAAATTCGTAATTTTAATTTCAAAAGCTTTTAATGCATTTAAACAATTTTACACCATAATAATTGAATAAAAAAATGGCGATTAATTATAAAATTAAAAATATAATTTATGTAAAGTTGAGCATAATTGTGAAAAGTGAATGCTAATTAATAACTACACATGCTTTCAACGCGCGATTATTGTTGACCTTTAAACTACTCGACGCGCACACCCCCCAATTTATAAGCAGATAATCCAATTTTACCGCCCACCCTCATCTCCACCCCCACAACTGCTTAAAATGCTTAATTAAATATTTTTTTTTTCTAATCATTTCAAAGGTTGCCAAAGTTGTTAAATTTTGTGAAATATTTTGGGTTGCGACTAAAAATATCAAGAAGTCACATAAACAGAAAAAAAAATCCAATGGAACGAAAAAATGTGATGAGGCATGTGAGTGTCACTTAATGACGTCATTCGCATTGGCAATTTAAATATTACCAGATTTTTATAGATTATTCTGTGTAATAAAAAGATTTAAATTAATATTCTTCCCCTCACATTGTTGGTGTTTTATTTTGATTAAATTATGTTTTTGTGTGTGTATTAGTGACACAGAATTTCGGCACTCCATTGTTGTTGTTGTGTTTCGGTTGTGGTTGACATTAAAGCTAATTAAATTTAAATTTAAAGATTTTTCATATTTTCATAAATATTAGATTTGTAGCTTTTGCCATGCCATGCCGTGAACATAAATTTTCTTTGCTTAATTTATGAATTTTCTAAGAATTAATGAACCTTGTATCTGTGCTAAACATTCCGTGGACACAGGGACAGTAGGCAATGGCTTTGGCCTTAATTTAGTTGAAATATATGAGTATCTGCCAAAGAATCACTTTATTTGTTGAACAAATTTGGGCAGATAAGCCCTCCTGTCAAATCTCAAGATCAATCAAATCCAAACTGGACAAGCAACTCACTCTTTACTAGTTAGTTAACTAGACGTAAACTTATTTCAAGTTTAAAAATGTTTCTGCAGAGTTTATCTCCTGCAATCTTTCACTATAAATGAATTTCTGGTTCTTTTTAGTGTTGTTAATTAGCACTTTTGCGCGTTCTAGGTGCTTTTTAACTCGTTTTTGCATCTGTTAGCTTGCACTTTTGCTTATTTTTGGTTCTGTTTTTGTAAAACTTTTTTGTCTTTGCTATTTGTTTTGATTGATTGAACCCGATAATGGGTTATTATGGCTATTTAGGTAAGTGTATAAGTAACTTGCGTATTGAATACTGGAAAAAAAAAGAAAAACAAGGTTGAGAAATAGTTTGGCTGCCAATATTAAAGCATTTCGCTCTGTTTGCTAACAAACCTATGAATCTGAAGAACATTCCAAGTATAAACCGTAAAAGAATATATAAATTTACTCTTCATTACATTAAGAAATGAAATGTTATTCTTGAGTATGTAGTAATAAATTGGTATTTATGTTTTAGCATAGATTGGTGCTTGGAGAGAAGAAAAAGGTCTACTGTCACTACAATAACTAGTTAAAGCAAAAATCATTCATTTTCAACTCATGTAAGGTAGATGAATTAGAAAGAGGATCAAATCCTTCTCAATTAGTTAAAAAACTTGTTTAGATTACACATTCCTCGTAATTAATAAATGCAAGTAATATTGGAAATAACACCCAGTGTGTTAAAAAATTATGCGAACAATCGTTTAAGCCTGGTTCTGGACAAGACTGTATATAGACACAACAATTCTCCTTTTCGACAGGTTCGATAGCGCAGGCAGACCCTGGCTAACTCTGGAAAAGTTGTATATGTATTTATGTAATCGGCACAGACGTAAGTTAAAAAGTAATATGTAAGAAAAATATAATTTACTAGCTGACCCGGCGAACGTTGTTTCCCCTTGCAATTAATTTTCCTAGCGTTCGTTGCGTTGCTCTTGACTTTCATTAGCACGTGTAATTGTATCCTGGTTTCTTACATCTTCATTATTTTCTGCCGATCTATTTAACGGTTCTGGAGTAATTGTGAATTCCGAGTCCGTCGACCAATATTTCTTCATCGTCCACGAAGACGTGGTATTTTTTTTTGTACGATATTTATATCTTTATATATATAATTCTTTTTTTTTGTGTGTTGAATTTTTGAATTCGCTGGATTTACCAGGAATACCACCACATAACTTAAGATTAAAAATTGGCTCACATATAATTATGCTGCGGAATTTAAATGCACTTAAGCTATGCAACGTCAGTTTTACAATTCATTTTAGAGATTTTAAAGTTTTTAAACAAATCAAAGTAAGCATGAATAAATTTTAAATTTTTAATATAAATGTATATGGATACCAAAAAATAAAAAATTGATTAAAAAGACATTATCCAGTGGGCCAAATTGTGAATCTAAACCTTCCTTGAATCCACTTGAACACACACAAAAAATTTCATCAAAATCGGTTCAGCCGTTTAGGAGGAGTTCACTGTCAACACACGTACAGAAGAATTATATATATAAGATAAAGATAAATACATATAAAATACATGTAAAAATTATTTGTAAAGCATTAAATAATAAATATTATTTTATATAATTTTTAATGATATTGCTGCTAATACCCTGTACGTCATTGTTTAATTAATAAAAGTTTTCTTAAATACTCATACAGAATGACGTCCTTGTTAATTTCCTTCTGTTTGAATTTATTTTAATAAATGAATGTGTATTTATAAAGTTGAAAAGAAGAAAAATTAAGAATCAGAGACACTTATTTCGGTGACCCTGTTTCATTAAAATGCCATCAAGAAAAATATTACAACAACAACACTAACGACAACAGCAACTAGTACAAAAATAACATGCAATACATAAAAAGCAAATTATAGAAAATGTTCTGCCATGATTTCAGGCACGTAGAGTGTACGGCAACAGCACATAAAAAAGACAAAATATTATATACTCGTATATATATATATACACAATATTTATATATTTTACATAAATATAGATTTATAATGTATAGAAAAATTATGTCTTTAGCTTTTAAAAAGATTAATATTTATTTTTCTATTTTTTGTTTTCTTTTTTTTAATTTTTTTTTTATTTCTTTAAATAAATTACTAATTTCAATTTGAGTAGAAGCGAGTTTCTGTAAAAGCAAACAAGAAAGTTAAGCAATCACAGCCCAACGGCTGCAATATAAACAACAACAACAACAGTTGTAGTAATAAATGTTACAGCAAAAATAATTTGAATTAAGCAGTTTATGTATTTTAACATATTTATGTTACTCATACTTAACATTAACAAAAACAGCAGTAGTTGTAATAGTAAATGTTACAGCAAAAAAACAATTTGAATTAAGCAATTTATGGATTTTAACATATTTATGTTACTCATACTTAATATTAACAATAACAACAACTACAACAGCAGTCGTAGTAGTAGTAGTAGATGTTACAGCAAAAACAATTTGTATGGAGCGGCTAATGGCTTTTAACATATTTATGTTACTCATACGGACTGTGTGCCGTTTGTGTTGCGTTAACTTAACAGCAAATGCAAAATGTCATAAATTATAAGTGTATTACAAAATATAATTATAAATGCAGTTGCTTAAGCGATTAATTGATAGTATTACTTAATGTGTACCTTCTTGATTTAATTGAGAACATATTATCACGATCGGCTGTTATAGTCATAGCCAAATCGTCATGTAAAATGGCGGGAATCATATTGAAGAATGAGTGCACCCGAGGCAGCGACTGCGAGCCGCCAGAATTCTTATTCAACATTTTGCTTATTGCTTATTCTTTTTTGAATAAATATGTAGGACTAGATAAATTTATGGATATGTAAAATTGCACAGAATTGCAATTTGTTGCCCCTTTGAGCTAGAAATAAATTTTTAACTCGTAAATGAACTGCGAATCTTTGTTTGTCTTTTTCCTTTGTGTACAATTGCAGGCGTAATAATATTCATAAATCGCTTTTTGTAAACTTCTGCGCCTTATTTCCTTAATTTCACAAACAAAACAATGTTGTGTCGCATTGACAAATTTAAGTTATTTTCACATTTAATATTTTTGCAGAAAAATATTTCAATTAAGTGCTGTACTGTATCATAATAATATTTTGTATAACTTTTAGTGGTAAACACTTTTTAACTTTGTTATTTTCTTATTGCTTATATTCAATTTCAATTTCACTTTCATAATTATTTTGTTTTGTAAATATTTGCAATTGTATAAATTATAATTTTTTTCACAAAATTATTTAAATTTTTTTTTTTAATTCATAAAAATTCTTCAGCTTCCATTTTTTAGTGTTTAGCATGAAGTATTTAAAATATGTTAAATATTTGTATATTTTTTATATAAATGAATACTGAACAATTTGCAGATATATAAGTATTTCTTTTTTGCTTTTTTAAAATTTTTTTAATTTTTTTAGATGATCGAAATTATTCGATTTGAAGACGTAAGGCACACGCACTACACTTTACAACGATTGAACTAAAAATTTTTGCTTAATGCGCGTTTCTCAGACTACCGATTTTCTTAGCATCATTTCAATGCGAATG